CCTGAACATCGCTACTATTAGGGTTACTGTTATATGATATTCCTCACATGGCATTAAAAAAATATGAAAGTTCACAACATATTTTGATTATGTTTTAGAAACCTTTAACGGAACTCAAATTTGTTGATTCATTGTTCTTACGCTCATTGCAATGTTTCCCTTGAAAACCAGGTGAACAGTGGCACAGATAGCTTTCCATAGTCTCCTCGCACCAGCCGTTCTCACAGAGCTTCTTGTCACAATCTATTAAAGATAACGGAAAGAAACTTAGTTTGTGTGTGTGTGTGTGTGTGTGTGTGTGTGTGTGTGTGCGTGCGTGTGTGGGTGTGTGCGTGTGTTAAACGTCTTTTATATGGAGAGAAAAAATTTGGGATGGAAATTGTTTTTCGATCATTGCTTACAGTTTGTGGGTGGTAGATTTATTTTTTTATGTGATTATGAATTAAAAAAGATTAAACTCGTTTTAGATATTCCACCATACTATATGGAAATGTTTCAAGCATGGCAAGAGACAAGTAATTTAAGATATTTGGAGGGTTATATTCATCCAATTATTTTTAATAATCGGAATATATGTATAAATGGAAAAGTATATTTGATAGATACTTGTTTGAAAGAGGGATTGTTCAACTGAATCACTTGGTTGAGAAAGGCCATGTTAAGTCTGTTAATTATTGTATGAACCTCGGTATGAAAGGTAATAATTTGCTTATGATCATTGAAATTTATGATGCGATACCCAGGTTATGGAAGGATGATTCAGGGTTACTATAATTCCTCGAGGTTGATTTGATAAGCTTTAATACTTATTTCCATATTTCTAGTAAAAAAATACAGTTTGTGGATGTGGGTTCAAGAACAATTTATGATTATTTTATCAAAGCACTGCAACAAACGTATGATTTGCAGGTAAGGGATGGGCAAAATGATTATGATTTTATAGATAAAGAATTAAAAGAAATATTTATTAGACCAAAAATTACTATACTCATTAGAAAACAACGAGAATTTCAATTTGAATTATTGCATGGAGCCATATGCACTAATGAGCATCTTCATAGATTTGGTTTTGTAGGTGATAATTTATGTTCGTTTTGTAAGCGGGAAATAGAAACATAGAAACATTTATTTTTATCTTGCGGAAGCGTTCAAAGGATATGGCAGGCTTTAATACAACTTTTTGAGTTAGATGAAATTAAAGATTTAGAATGGCGAGATATATTTGTTGGGTTGGTAGGAAGTTCATATAGAATAAAAATGTGTAATACTATCATTTTCATGGTGAAGTATGTTACATTTTTGTCAAGATCGGGGGGGGGGCGAGTACCAACTTTAGAAAAGATGAAGAAAAAAAACATTTAGTATAGGGATGAGGAAAAGAAAATAGCAATTAAAATGGGAAAGCTGGGATCACATTTCTTAAAGTGGGAGCAGCTTAAGATTAATTAAGATTGTTTTCTTCTTCTCCACCGTGAGCCTGTTAAAAGGGTTACTCTATTTTGCGGCCTGGATAACTTATTTAGTATATGTTTCTTGAGTTGAGAATGTTAGCAGACATCCACTGAGTGAGTAGTGTGTGTGGGGGGGTGGGTGGGTGAGTATGTGTGTGGGTGCGTGAGTATGTTTGTGTGATGGAGGGGGGCAGGGAGGGGGCAGGATTGTTCTAGTAAAATTATCTCCAGATTTGTTTTTTTTTTGTATATAAGTGAATAACATTTACAATTGACATATTATGTTTAGGTACTTTTACGTTTACTTTGTTGCTAAGCTATATATACTGCAAATAAGTTTGTGTTTAATTATGTTTATGTAAAAGCATCAATATTGAACACGTTTATTTTATTCAATTGTATGTTATGGTTTGTATTGCACATTTTGAGAAATAAAACAAAATTGTTTTTAAAAAAAAAAGTGTGTGCGTGTGTGTTTTCATGCGTATGTCTGTAAGACGGGTGAGCATGTTTTGGTCTTGTTTTTTTATAGCATACTCAATCAAACAGAAAACCTTTGACTTCAAATGAACTATATGGAAATGAAAATAAGACACTGCCACCTTTCAGCGTTATAAGTATTTTTGTATTCTCTTTCTCATTATAATTCCATCAGTAAATGAACATGTACTTATACTTGAATAAAATCAATCTATCAATCATTCATTCATTCATTCAATTTTTGCGTCCACGAGGTGCAGACCTAGGCCTTATAGTTCATATCAAGAAACTTACCCCCTGTAAAATCATCCCCCGGAAAAATACCTGCCGGAAAACTACTCACAAGGACAACCACACCCAAGGACTATTTCCCCCGGAAAGGTCCCCCTAAGTCAAGAATAAACCCCCCCCCCCCCTCCACCTGTGGACAATTCCCTCCACCGCTGACAATGACCGCTAGGAAAATGTCCTCTCCCAAGGACAACCAAAGACAACCATCCCCGAGGACAAATACCCCCCGTTTATTAAAAGGAAGTCACAAATCAGATGTTTGTTTTGGTCCTTGGGGTCACCGTTATCCCCCCCCCCCCCTCCTCCCATGGACAATTACCAAAGACCTGGGGCGGGGGAAGGGGTGATTGTCCAAGGGGTAATTTTCAGGGGCAACATACCTGGGGGTGGTAATTGTCCTAGGGGGTGGTTGTCCTTGGGGGGATAATTGTCTCCTTCGTAATTGGCAGGGGTGATTGTCCAGGGGGTAATTTTTCGGGGGCAATATGTCCTCGGAGGGGGGGGGGGATTGTCCCGCTGGTATTGGTCGGGGTGATTGTCCAGAGGGTAATTTTTCCAGAACCCTTATAGTTCACTGTCTCCTATGACTATTAATTGTAAATGAAGTTCTTAAATAAGTTGAATTACCAGTGAACACTGTAAAGGTGATACACCTAGATTGTTCTCCGAGCGAAATTGGATATTTCTTATTTGTTTTTGCAGAGGTATGCCGACCCCTTCCAGACGAAAAGTTGTATCAGTTTTATATTCATTGTAATGTACGGTCACAGTCAGTAGTTATTTAAAAGTTCGTTCCATTAGCTTAAAGGAAATTTGAATTTGAATTTGAAGGTCTGACGACCCCTTCCCGAGGGAAGCTTATTATTATTTTAAAGTTTTGTAATGTTCTGACATGCTACCAATGGCGTATCAAAGCTTCTGCAGCAGAAGGGCATAATATCTGTTTTTACTGCGATACAGTTTGTTCTCGTTTAGAACTCACTTTCTGAGGGTCATGCAGGCTGTTCATGCCACGGTTTGCTTTAATCATTCCTGGCATTGGACTCTCAAGGGACGTTCAAATCGTGGTCATAAATCTATAGATTTTACATTCTTGTATAGTTCATTGTCAAAGAAATGTTTGTATCTAAAAATCATAATTTTGGGGGTAATTTTCCTTCTGATTTCATATCAGGTTCAAGAATTTGTAGGCGCATAAACTGTCCATCATAGTATACGTCCAACTCTTAAGTACAACTTCAAATTAATGAATTTTTTTTTTCAACCATGAACCATCAAAAATGTAAATTCGATTTGTGATCACGATATGCACATCGCTTGATAAAAATGGTGAGAGCAACCGGTGGCATGAACGGCCTGTCATAGTTCAAGTACAAATTTAGGTCATACATGTATATGTCTTCATGAAACATCCCCCCCCCCCCTGACAAACAAAAATGTCTTCACTTCATGCGTTTCCATGTGCAATGTTACTATAGCTAACCACATTATTCCACACCCGGCTATCTACTAGTATACTGTTTACAACTTAGCTGCTTTTGTTACTTTTTCTTAGGTCGAAAAATATCAGGAGGGACAAATATTGCTCCCCTTGCTCCTCCTCCAAATACGCCGGTATATAGATACTTTGTATTGGCAAGAGGTACAACAAAGAAAAAGTAAATTTCCTCTTTGTTGTAATAAAAAGGTAATTCCTTCTATTTGTAGTACGTACTTTGCATCTTAAATGCATTTTTGCCCCGTAATGAGAGGCAAACAAAAGTCTGAGAGAACCCTAAACGTGAGGTGTGCAAGGTAACGGGGTAATTCATTGATAATAGGGTGTAGGAACGTGATGGAAATGGAGTTTTGACCACTTTAACCAGCGCTTCTCAACATTTTATGAAACACCATTTGTTTTGTACTAAATATTTTCAATTATAAAAGCACCCTCAATATAATAATTGCAAACCTGGTTTCATTCAGCCTCTGTATGGAAGAATTTTTTCCGCTATCAACAAAAAGGAAAATGACATTTGTTTTGTTTAATCTAATAGACCTATCAAACTGGAGAGGAGCTCGCGAGAGACGTCACAGTGTTGCCAATTTGCGTTTGATTGGTCGCAAATTCGAAAATCCATAACTTTCTTATGTTTAATCGGAATTTGCTGAAATTTTCTGTGACCGGTTCCTTTCAATTGCATGCTTCCATTAAAACCAGCTTAATACCAGAATGGATTCCCCCCTTTTAATTGGATGGGTATATACATATAGATGGAGAGAGGTCCATGTTTTTTTTCTATGTGAGTTTTACTGGTTTGAGCACGGGGGTTTAGAGAAGGAACCCCCCCCTCCCTCTCCCCCTCCCCCTCCATCCCTCCTCCCCCAATGTACGTACTGTTTCCCCAAAAACTCATTAAGCCGAAATTTCGTAATTAGGAATATGCATGAGTTTATAGTATCAAATGTTTATCCGAAAATGTAATATAACGGCTTGGAAAACTATATTATTCTCGGAATTATGAAACTTCAAGATTATGAACCCTATTCCATTTTCAGAATTATGAAACCTTACATCATTTTCGAAATCATGGACCTTTATAAGAACAAACCATAGGAGTGGACAGCCAACGCTTTTGAAAGTTGTAAATCCCATTTCATTTTGGGGATAATAAACCACCGGGCCTGGAATTACTCCATTATTATGAACCCTTCATAGAATTCAACTTCGAAAATCGAGTGTCCTAATAAATAACGCCTACTTTTAAGTTACAAAAAAGGTGGGGTCTAAATGATTACCAGGAAAATTGCATGTTCTGTATCCGGGAGGAATTCCTAACTTTCCTTTCCGTCTGAAGCAACCGTTAGACGCCATCGGAACAGGGATGAGCTTCGGAATCGTCTGTACCATACTGCCGTTGGTGTGTTGCTTCTGCAGACACTCGTTGAACATTGGTAAGGTGTAGTTGAGTCCAAACGGGTTCTTGTGGCAGGTTTGTCTCCTATCCATTGCATATAATGGCGCGGGTAAAGCTGTGTGCCAGAATGATGATGATGATGATGATGATAATGATGTTGACGATGATAAAGATATGATGATAGTGATGGTGGTGATGGTGGTGATAATGATTATGATGAAACGAATACCACCAACAATAAAATCATCTTAATAATAACAGTGAGGTATTAATACGAATGAAATGATAATAATAACAGTAATGACAAAAACAATACGGAGAATAAGAATAATGACACCCCCCCCCCCATAAAATGGTGGATTGAGGGGGTACTGACAATTGGAAACTAGGGGCCCCTATTGTATTATATTTGTGAAATGTAAATAAACAAGGCCAGCTGTTGTGGATAAAATGATGTCACCTTCTTTTCACGTTCTTCCCCTCTCCTCCCTTTTCTTTTCCGGAATGCAACACATGTGCCCCATGGATAGTTATGCCACTGCACGCTACATTGCTCTTTTTCATCTGGAATCGTATTTATCTACGCAGCTAGATTAAATGTATACTTAAATAAACACAAATAAACATCTGTAATGTATCTTTGAAACATACGCACCACACATATAGAAATAAGATTGATAGTGTATTCGAGGTGATTAAATAGACAAAAAAAGGCGGCACAAAGATTTCTGAATACAAAGAAAATATGACCACCGTTTAAAGGGCCCATGAAATCAAAATACAAGTGTATTCCTGTTGGAGCTAACTTGAGAAAGTGGCATGTAACCACCTGTTTCAATACCACAAATAATATCAACACATAAGTTGCTATGTCAGACATTTCAGACTAAACTAATATTCTAGAATAGACAATGGTATGTAATTTACCCCCAGCTTAGCACACGTTCATAATAGAGTTGCATGCTTCCATACATAATTATGTACAATACATCATCATTGCCTTTGTCATCATTGCCACAGCATGTCTGACAAAGCAACTTGTTCGTTGCTATTGTAGGTGGTTGACTTCGGCAAAGATACCACTTTCCCAAGTGAGCTCATTGATGACTGACAGATAATGTCACAAGGGGAATGATATCTGGAGTTTTTTTTGGGTGGAGCTTAGCAAGTTTGAAAAACAAATAATTCAAAAAATATTTAAAGAATCTATGAAACAAATTCAGAAGTTTACATATCAACATATATGATGTATGCAGGACTGCACACCAACATGAATACATTTGTAATTCGATGTAATGGACCCTTTAAGAACAATAATGACGAATATTAAGCATGAGCATATGAAATAATTCTGGAAATATATAGCTAACAATCATTCAGATAGGGTTGTAATATGGTTTGAAATGTTATGTTTGAGGAGTAGGGTACATACCAGCAGCAAGAAAGATTACCGTGCCATATACGCACTTCCAACGAACATTTAATACACTGGTCTGTAAAATTAGAAACGGGTTTACAAAATAAATCATGATGATTTTAGAGGTCTGATGAAACTCTTTCATAATAAATTATCTAAGGATCTATTTCGCTTATCTTATCATAGATCATCTCGACTAGCATGCAGATGTAGGCAATCACGTGTCTCCCTTTCAACCCAAGGGGGATCGGTCTCCCTTGGTACACAATTTCAAGAATGTGCTTTCCCCCCCCCCCCCCCCCCCCCCCCCCCCCCCCCCCCCCCCCCCCCCTCCCCTGCAGCCCACGGCAAGGCGGGTTTATAATACAGGGACAGACTCTAATTGTAACACTTTGCCACAATCCATAAAGCCATAAGCAGACTCAAGTACTTCGAGTCTCTGGCTGTGTCAAATAAGGAGCAGTCTAGATGCAAAATGCCGTCAGAATGGTCTCAAAGTGCAGACACTGTTGGGCAGAGTGTCTGACACGACTTTGCGCCTGTAAACTAATTTCGTGGCCAGTTCAGTAACTGACTATTGATAAGAGTGGTGGTATTTTGAACTAATATTAAGTTTAAAAGAAAATAAAAGCATTAGTTTTTCATAAATTGTACACCTAACAATCGTGAAGTCTAGACTTCAAGCTTTTTCTGCAAGATGGACAACGACTTTTACACTTCACCCCTTTTTCGTACAGAATGAAAACAACTGTTAGACTCATCATTGCGATTAGTATTCACACGAAATAGATCATATGGTCATGTATATATAAAACATTTTCTTTTTTTGCCGTCAGTTCTTACCATTTTTGTGAATCCTCAGTCATGAAGTCCTTCACCAAAGGATGGTGATGCGCAACGGAACACTGTTCAACTCAAGTGTGACTATTCTCACATTTGAATTCAGTACAGGAATCAGCTAGGTTACGAACACAAAGCAACGTACGCATTAAGTTTTGCGTCGCGTAGCTGCAGTAGGCAAGGGTTACCTGTACCCCTCACGATGGCCTTAATTGCATGTTCTCTCACATTTCTTGGTTTCACATGGTTGATGTGGTTGACAGATGTGGTTTTGACTCCCTTCCTCCCACCACAATGCCCCCTAAATTCATGGGCCCATGCTACGCCATTGCAGTGATGCATAGTAATTACACGCGTGGGGTGGGTGGGGTAGGAGGAAAAATTGAAAGGAAAGAAATGTATGCAACCTTTTTCTGAGTTTAGTATTGGGTTAATGGAGACGAAAGTAATATGACCTAGACTCAGCTAGATAACGTATTGCAAACAATGAAATATTTGAGGAAGTTTTAAATGAGGCTGTTTACCACCCGAGACGTAGTATAAGTACTTCAAATACAAATTAATGATTATTGTTTTGATATTATAACATTCTTAATTGAATCGTTACGGCGACGGCGCCGCTCTTAAAATTGCAAAATAAAATTAAATATAAGTCCAATGCAGTACAAATTATTTCATTCACCTGTTTTACGAACAAATGTATTCTTATATTTGGAATGCGAATTGCATACATTCAAGTTAATAGATAAGGTAACCCATACTTTTTCTCCCAACTAGCAACATCACTGCCTAGTTGTTTATCTTTCTCGCTCCCCAGATTGTTTGGAAAAGTTGAAGTAGGATCTCAATCGTGGACTGGGAATCCCCACATATGACACATCACATCTCTTGCCCAAGACCAAGGGTGTCGATTTGTATCCGTGGTTGGGGGGGGGGGGGAGGATGATAGGTGCCAAAAAAAATTCGGCAATGGATCAAAGCAACCAAGAGGTTGAATCGTGTGGCAGGTTGCACCCTTCCCCAAGCGCGTAGCCAGGATTTCATTTTAGGGGGTGGTAGTAAGCAAGCGAAGCTTTAGGGGGTGGTAGTAAGCAAGCGAAGCGCGTTCCCTAGGGGGGTTGGGTACAGGGAGGGGGAGTTCCCCCCCCCCCTGCGAAGCGCGGAAGCTTTGACGTTTCATTAAATTATTAGAGAAAAAAGACGATTCGTTGGACCGTTCTCGACTCTTAATCCTTTTTTTAATCAAGTTCCCCTTGCTCCGCGCGTAGCGCGGAAGCTCTGACGTTTCATTCGATGATTAAAGAAATAAGGCGATTCGATGTACCATTCTCGACTCTTAATCCTTAATGTTTGAATCAAGTCCCCCTTCCTCCGCGCGTAGCGCGGAAGCTCTGATGTTTCATTCGATGATTAAAGAAATAAGGCGATTCGATGTACCATTCTCGACTCTTAATCCTTAATGTTTGAATCAAGTCCCCCTTCCTCCGCGCGTACCGCGGAAGCTTTGACGTTTCATTTAACTATTAGAGAAAGAAGACGATTCGTTGTATCGTGTCCCTGTCTGAGTGCAATTCGCCCCCGCCCTCCCGCGCGAAGCGCGGAAGCTTTGACGTTTCAATGAATTATTACTCTTAATCCTTTTCTGTATTCATTTTCGCCTATCCAGCGCCAAGCGCGGAAGCTTTACCGTTTCATTAAATTATTAGAAAGAGAAGATGATACGTTGTATCGTGTACTTTGACGTTTCATTTAATTATAACTCTTAATCCTAGTCTGAATTCAGTTGCCCCACATGATGTACGTATGGAACGTTCGTTCGCAAATCTTTGCATGCACAGCCCAAGTGGTGGGTAGCATGTTATCTCCTGGCAGTGCTTGTCGCAATAGCTTCTGGAAAGGAATTGTATACTACAGTTAGTGTTAAAGGGATAGTTGAGTTCTGTTTTCAGACCGCAAATGCCTTCAAAGTGCATGGTTATTGTTCTTATTCTTATCTATGACATTTTTAGTACCCTTTTATAACCTAAAATTGCTATGAAGGTAATTTTAGACCCCAAAATGTGTGAAATTTAGCCAATACGAGCATACCAATTCAGCTCCACTTAAAAAAAAACACGGTAACAGTTAATTAATTATTTAATAAAAAATAACAATACATGGGCCGGCTGGTTGTGCGTAATATAAGCAACACGAAAATGTCAATAAAAAAAGCCAACATCGGCATTGGCTGAAATACGACGTAAAAAGCGTTATTTCGTTTTTTTCAAATTTTTCAAAATATCTAATATTTGTGGTGGTACACAGGTATTAGAAATCGTTATATTTTAGCCGTCTCTGAACCGATTTTGATCAAACAAAGATGATTTTGTCATTTAAATATTATGTTCTTTCAAATTTGATACTCAGTTTTTCATTATCTCACAAAACTATCATTTTGTGTAGCGCCCTCTGCAACAGAACTCAACTATCCCTTTAACGGCCACTAATTAGGCCCATTAGTGACTATACGAAATATATGCTTTTCTGGCTATTCGGGAATGTGTCAGTTTGCAACAGAAATGGAGAAACGCGAATTTTGTTGTAAATCATGTGATAACACGAACATTTATAAATCACTTGTATGAAATTGAAAATAAGTAATGGTTGGATTTTATTGGGGGATTGAACCAACCAGTACGCCAGTGACATAGGCATACGTCAGCTTTTCAATAAAAACAAAAATACGGTTGTGACATAATAATCTTTCTCCAAAAATGAAAAATGTTTTAGGAAATATCAGGAAATAAAATGAGTGAAAAAAATAAAAAATAAAGATACAATGACGTGAATTTTAAAAAGGGTGAACGGAAACAACATAACAAGTAGTGAACTATCTTATAAGTCATACTAATGTCCGAAAATCTTTCTCCTTTTCTCCGATCTCATCACGAATTCGTGACAGAGTTCATCTATGTTTACACTGTCCAGGATTGTCTGATGTTGCAGGTCGCTACTTTTGCGCTTCGCGCTTATAATATTAAGCTCGTTGCTTTTTAACGCTGCGTCTTTGCATTTGGCGCACTGCATTTCTATGATGCTGTTGATTGAACAAATTGAATAAATTCATCAATTCCTGATGAAGCCGTATGATCGAGAATTCAATTTATTCTTGTCTCGTATACGGTTGTCTCATTTACTTCGTATGTATGTATGTAGAGAGTCTATTATGAAAATGAGATACCAATTTGGGTATATTGATGGTCAATTGCGAGTAATAACCATTGACTACTCTCATCGGGCTCTCATCATTAATTTTTCTCTTATTTTTTGTTTTTGTTTTGAGGGTGAATTATCGGGGGGGGGGATGATGGTGGAAAGAGCCTAGTGCAAACATATTGTAAAGTTTTACATGTACTTGAAAACTTGAAAATCTTATATTAATCTAAGATTCGTTAAGAATTGACAATTACAGACAAAATCGGAATGAAGAGAGAAATCTGGACGCAGTATTAATCAGATGTTGAAAAAAGAGACCTAGCTTTAGACGAGCTTGACGTTTAGATGATAACATTGTTGGCAAACAGTGGGGGAGGTAGATCAAGGGCCTATATATATAGTTTACCGAAGGTTCACAATTCCGAGGCATTACGATTCAGGGTCCAAAGACAATCAATAACAAACACTTTCCTCACACAATCATTGACAGTGCTCTTTAGATTATTGTATTATCTAGAACGGACCTTCGACCTCAACAAATAAATTGAGACAAATGAAACAAAAATGTATAAAGGTCAATTAGCTAGAACAGGGGGTGTGCCGGTCAAGCCTCGAAACCCCTACCAATTATTAGGGCTCATTTTTCTCGAAGAAAAGACAAATTGTTCAGAATTGTCGGGTATTTGTCGGGTGTTTGCATGGCAGAAACCCGAAATGTTGAAAAGACGGACCCGTTTTTAATGGTATTTTTGTTAAAAGTGGGACCCATAATTAGGGATTTTTTTGTGTGAAAAAGTGACCCATTAGAGCGACACACCCCCGTATGTCCTAATATGTGAGTACCCCCCCCCCCCCCCATCCGCCGCGATATAAACTTAGGACTACATTATAATGCATTCAGATTTGAGTCCATTCACTTCTGAACTGACCATCATTGCTGAAGAACACACAGTCTTAGGTTCTGCTCTGACGATCAAGATTCATCATGGTGCTCAAGGTTTACGTCGATCTTCGCTCACAGCCTGCCCGTGCACTCGTCATCTTTCTCAAAAATACTAAAATTCCTTTTGAAATTGAAACAATTAACCTGAGAACTGGTAAGCTTCGAAATTATATTTTCTATAGGATATATATCATGATTTCTCGTGTTTCATATTTTCTTTTGTATATTCATTAGATACGCATTATCCAAAGACATTTTGTCTAAAGGGCCACTCTAACCAAACGTTTATGCTTAATTTCAATTTTTGTAATAGAAATGTTTGTATAGCAACTGTTAAATACTTTCTCAACTATTTCGCTCAAACATCTTCCATTTGTTCTTCTCCATTCTCTCCTTTCCACCGTCTTGGTCTTTAAACATGAAAGTGTATTATTACATTAAACTTATAACTTTGTTTTGCGATTTCGATTTCATCTTACCAATGCTAAACAATTTCTGCAAAAGTTGACTTACAATATGTATTTTAGTTTTGTATATGTTTATATTTCTCTATATTTTTAACTTGTTTGGAAATTGAACATTTTCAGCATGCGAGCTGCTTGTTTGATGTGATTTTGCAATAAACCAAACCAATTCAATTCAACTAACATAGCCTTTCAAAACATGAATACACCTCTACTTATTAATATTCCAGCCTCCGATTTTTCAGAAAATCTCTATATTGACCAAAACATGACTAATAACCATCCATTTTTCACAGATAACACGCTTTATGGGTTACGCCCCTCGAAAAAAAGGGTATTACTGTCACGTGGCTTGATGACGCAGTTGACGTCATTGCGGGAATGTCCTTGTATTTGTCCTACAACTAAGGATCTTACAATTTCATTGTAATTCATAACTAGGAATGACGAAATGGCCAGAAACTTTCTGGGGTTACCAAGTGCATATTATTTTTCGGATAATCTCTTTTTTGAATTAATATCATAGTTTGCCTTTTTAAAGACATTGTAATGCCTAAATCACCCTCCTTTTCACCGAGATGTCGCAAGCGTTGTTGTTGTTGTTGTCTATTAAGTCTTAAGGGCGTGTGACATTCATTTATGAATATTACGCAGGCGCTTTTTGCTTAGACTCATACCACAGTCCTTTCATTATTGTGCGTGCCCGTTCTTGTCAGTCTGGCGTCAGTTTCCTTTAAAACATAAACTATCAAACGAGTGGGCAAAGAGTCTACGGTGTTTATTTTTATCATTATTTTTTCTGGCATTCCATACGCTTGCGGCTTAGTTTCGTTTTTCCAACTCTATGGCTGGAATCTACCGATACTATCCAGCCAGATTCAGATGCAGAAAAGGAGGAGATGACTGAGGACTGAAGTTTGGGGTAATTTTCCTTTTGGAATACTAACTGTTAGGCCTCGAGAGTTTCAGTTTAGTACGTGCGCATGAACTGGAGTACGAGTGCATGGTTTAGTCTAGACTGACGGTAAGTTAATGTATAAGACCCCTGGGCTTCTGGCGGCTCCGCCCCCTGGACCCCACACTAATTTGTGTCCTGCCAGTGTTTTCATGTGACGTGTTTATTGCCCAAAATCCCTGAGCTTCAGTTGGCTCCGCCCCCTGGACCCCACTCCAATTCGTGTCCTACCAGTTTCACAAATAAGGTACCAAAATATGCTCATGTGACCGTTATTTATTGCGCAAAACCCCTGGGTCCGTATTCAATAAACTTCTTAAGCATGAAATCTAAGTACTTTTTCTTAAATTTTGGCTAAGAAAAAATCTTAGCCAAAAATCGTATTCTATAACCGCATTGGAGACTAAGAAATTTGCCTTAAAGGTAAAGACCAGTAATGGTCATGCGATTGCATTGTGAAAGAAACGTTGTGGAATCGATCAGAAAAGGTTGATCATCTAGCATCTAGCATCTGCAAGGTTCTGGAATCATCAAAATGATAAGAAATTTGGCCCATTCTTCGTAAAGTTACAAGCACTATACACAGAAAGATGTATATGGGACTACCCTATATCTCTCACACGACCATGAGAGAAACAAATTTACCAAATATATGAATTAGTAGGCGGTTTCCCGGCAAATTTTGTATCATCATGTTTTAGTCAAAACATATTCTTTCACATGATTGGTAACGAGAGCTTCCATTTCATTTTTTGAAATTCGGGCGTTTCCAATACTGGTCTTTACCTTTAAGATTAAGAAGAACTCTTAGATTTTATCTAAGAAAAAGGGCTTAAATAGCATGTCGTATTCTAATACAATCGAGATATCTAAGATAAGTAAGATATCTACCCTATATTTAAGCATAGATCAGTCTCCTATCTCTTATGTACATAACTGCGATTGATATCAAACGCAAATACGTTGCGATTGATATCAACTCTTTGTAAAGTGACTCTCACACTCTGCCGTGTAGGCCTACCGTGTGCCACCGTGCCAGAAAATGTCTGCGGACGGTGGAGAACGGCGAGGGCACACGGTGGTTCGTTATCAAATTTGGTCCAGGGGGCGGAGCCCCCAGAAGCTCAGGGGCGGTATTCTGAACCCTGTGTTATCTCTAATATTGTTGTATCTTTGGAGATAAGATAAAGTTGGTATTCTGAACATTGTTGTAACTTTTGTGTTATCTTTTGTTGTATCTTTTCTCTCATCTCATTGGCCGCGCCTGCGCTCATAGTTTGGTGCGCTTGTAATTGTGCGTATTATTAATAAAGTGGCGTTTAATCCTCATTTGCATATGCTCACGAGTTGTTGTATCTGTTATCTTATCTTATCTTGCATGGTATTTACAACAATATTTACAACAGGTAGGGGGTTGTTGTATCTTTCGTGGTGATATAATGGCGGCAATTTTTCTTGCCCAGAACCAACTTCGTGCCAATAGACGATTTAGAAGAAGATTGTGTCTTGACCGGAAACATCACAGATGAGAACTTTCTAAGAAATTACATGCTAGGATATGACGATTTTAATGCTCTCATCTTAACCAATATAGTGAAAGCGTGATTTGTCTTCATGATCGACATGCCACAGCGCATAGTGATGACGCGCGTAATAAGCGCTCAAATAACTAATTACGCCCAAGATTAGTATGTGCTAGGCGCATCTTCAGATATGGCATAAAGTATTCCTATTGGTTGACCTACTTATCATGCTTATATTAAACAGATTTTGATTGGTAGGGTCCATACAAATGGGCGTGTCAACAGTGGTCAAAGATAAGATAGAGGCGGTCCTTCAAGAGATAACACAGGGATAAAATGATGTTCAGAATACCAACTTACAACAATATTAGCGCTGTGTTATCTCTGTGAGATACAACAAAAGATAACACAAAACTTACAACAATGTTCAGAATACCACCCCAGGAGTTTTGGGCAATAAATAACGGTCACATGAGCATATTTTTATACCTTCTTTCTGACACTGGCAGGATACAAATTGGTGTTGGGTCCAGAGGCGGAGCCCCCGGAAGCTCAGGGCCCGTATTCAATAAACTTCTAAGACATTTTTCTTAAGTCTAAGAAAATGTCTTAAGAATTTGTCTAGGTTAAGAAAGTTGCCTCGGCCGTATTCTAAACACGTACAGCAGTTTGTCTTAGCTAAGACGACACATAGACAAATTCTTAGACCCGATGACGTCCTGTTGGAAAGTTGAAGTGGTCGACTCGAGCGAATTAATTGCAACTCAATTTGCCTATGTAATTTGCGTGTTAAAATAAAAATCGCACCGCACGAAAATTATACACTAACATGTATGGGAGATAGAGCGTTTAAGGAAGGAACGATGCTCACATAATTGTTTCGGGCTAGACCAACTGACACTAAAACAGTCTAGTCAGATCTAACATCCACTGTAGGCTTTTTATACTTTTCTGTCAAACATCTTCGAAGAGCCCAACCGGGCTTACTTATGTCGCAGCCGGAGTGTATATGAAGGGAGCGCTGTCGCTAGCCGGTCGACCAGCGCTAGCATTGGATTTGGAGCTACCCTTTGTTTTACATCGTCTACTGCTATGCTGGCCTAAAATTAATCAAATGGCTAAATGTAACCTTTATCAGACTCATAATATAACAAATTCTGTTTCACCTAATATTATGCAGATTGCACATTATTCCCTGTTTCCATATTTTAGTGCCAAAGACTATTAAAGTAAGAGACGGTTTCTTTATATAAGACATCCATGTCTTAATTTAGTGTTATGTAGATGCTACGCTAGTACTCGTTTAGTCATATCATAATTTGCATGTACATGGTCTACTGTACAAACGAACATAAACAACAGTGCCTATATATGGCGCTCTTGCGCGCTGCGCCGTCGACGCGCTGTATACGCGAAGCTTACGTTGATATATAGGTCAACTGGGGTGGTATTCTGAACATTGTTGTAAGTGTTGTGTTATCTTTTGTTGTATCTTCCAGAGATAACACAGCGCTAATATTGTTGTAAGTTGGTATTCTGAACATTGTTTTATCCCTGTGTTATCTCTTGAAGGACCGCCTCTATCTTATCTTTGACCATTGATGACGCGCCCATTTTTATGGACCCTACCAATCAAAATCTATTTTATATAAGCATGATAAGTAGATCAACCAATAGGAATACTTTATGCCATATCTGAAGATGCGCCTAGCGCATACTAATCTTGGGCGTAATTAGTTATTTGAGCACTTATTACGCGCGTCATCATTATGCGCTGTTGAATGTGGATCATGAAGACAAATCACGCTTTCACTATATTGGTTAAGATGAGAGCATTAAAATAGTCCTATCCTAGCATGTAATATCTTAGAAATTTCTCATCTGTGATGTTTCCGGTCAACACACAATCTTCTTCTAACTCGTCTATTGGCACGAAGTTGGTTCTGGGCAAAAAATATTGCCGCCATTATATCACCACGAAAGATACAACAACCTCCTACCTGCTGTAAATATTGTTGTAAATACCATGCAAGATAAGATAAGATAAAAGATACAACAACTTTCAGAATACCAATTATCTCGACATATTATCTCCCGTGCGCATATGCAAATGAGAATTAAATGCCACTTTATTAATAATACGCACAATTACAAGCGCACCAAAGTATGAGCGCAGGCGCGGCCAATAAGATACAACAAAAGATAACACAAA